AATCAAGGGCTTAGAATAGATTAATATTCTACTTTAATCCTGTTAATTTAGTTTAAACATAGACACTAAATTCCAATTCTTTTCAACACAAGGGGACTAGAATACCCAGCAAATGTATATTTTGGAGCTTAAGAATATCTACCTCAAAGGGAGAATTTATTTCCTTGCTTTAAATAAAACTGGTCTATTGCTGAATTAAATATCTTTCCTACTTGTCACCTATAAAGTCCCTGGGGGAAAAGCAACCTAGGAAATAAAGCTCTTTTCCTTTGTTTTCATGGTTCTATAAAATAAATACTTAATTTTATATGCTTTCTCAAATGCACTTAGAATACAAATACTTCCTTCTTTACCCATCACTTGGAGAGAAGAAAAATGAACAAGTCAGTCATATTTCAATATTTAATAGCAAGATAGAAGGGGTTAGACTTGTAATGAGTTTTAGACTCCTCGGAACACTAAAAACTTCCTGTATCTTGATATGTGAAAATCAAGCCAATTTGTATTGGCTCAAATTCTGGTTCTGTCCCTTAGTTCTCTGAATAGAGAGGCAAGCTATTTAACCTTTCAGAGTTTAGTTTCATCTGCAAAATGGAGCTAATTCTATCCTCATAGAGTGGTTTTGAAAATGAAAAAGACTCTGGCCTAGGAACTGATGTATAATTACATGTGCACTAATAATAGAGGGGGCATGGAAGATCAGTGGTGAAAGCATAATGGAATAGTTGTCTACACATAAGGAAAAAGTGAAATTTGATCCTGTTTCACACCATTCACTAAAATCAATTCTGGGTGCAACAACAGGCCTAAACATGAAAGATGAAGCTATGTAACTCTTAAAAGCTATGTAGCTCTTCATGACCTTGAGGTGGGGAGGATTTCTTAAGACAGTAAAGCATAAACCATAAATTCAACTACAAGAACAGTAAGAATTTATATTTATCAAAGTCTCTATACAGTGAAAATATTAGAAAATGACAACACATAATTGACACCAAACTAGTATGTAGAATATTAAGTAACATGTACAGGCCAATAAGAAAAAGGGCAAAAGAAAAATTGGCTAAAGACCCGAACAGTTTCTTTGCAAAGGAGAAACTCCAAATATTAAACATGGGGGAAGTGCTCAGTATCATCAGTAAAATAATGAGATACATACAAAATAGACCCATCATACAATCGCTTACCTAGAAGATTGGCCAGAAAAGAAATTCTCACAATTCTAAGCATTAGAATGAACATAGAGCAACAGAAAAACCAAACTGCTGATACATTTTGAGAAAAGTTTTAAAAAGTTTGTCAGTAATTTTTTTTTTTAATGTTTATTTATGTTTTGAGAGACCTAGAGCACGAGTGGGGGAGGAGCAGAGAGGGAGGAAGACACAGAATCCAAAGCAGGCTCCAGGTTCTGAGCTGTCAGCACAGAGCCTGATGCGGGGCTCTATCTCATGAACCGTGAGATCGTGACCTCAGCCAAAGTCAGAAGCTTAACTGAGCCATCCAGGTGCCCCAGTAAATTTTTAAAAAAATTTTTTAAGCTTATTTATTTTTGAGAGAGAGTACGTACACATAGACGAGTGGGTTAGGGAGAGAGAGAATCCCAAGTGGGCTCTGCACTGACAGCAGAGGTGGAGCTTGAACTCACAAACCCCGAGATCATGACCTGAGCCAAAATCAAGAGTCGGATGCTTAACTAACTGAGCCACCCAGACTCCCCAAGTTTGTCATTAAATTTAAAGAAAGGCATACCTTATTTATTTTGAGAGAGTGTGTGCAGAGCGGGGCTCAAACTCACCAGCCATACTCATAAACTGTGAAATCATGACCTGAGCCAAAATAAAGAGTCAGATGCTTAACCAGCTGAGCCACCTATGCGCCCCCCTATTCTTAACGGTATGCCCTACTGACTCTTGCACATTGGCATAAGGATATATATCATACAACCTGGAAACCCTACAACCTGGAACTTGGACATGATTGATGTTGAACAAAAGAAGTGTAATAAAATTCATGTTACTCCATTTGTGAAAAGCTTACAAACAGGAAAAATAAACTAGTTGGTTTAGGGGCACATATTTGCATGGTAGAAACAGCAAAGCAAGGAAATGATTCTCATAAAAGCCAGAATAGTATTTACCTAGGGGGATGATGAATGGTGGCTAGGTGAATGGTGAATGGGTCCATCCTGTGCTCACTGATCTGGTGGTAGTCACCCAGCTGTTCATTTTATAATGATTCTTTAAACTTGTAGAGAGCGAGTCACTTATGTCCAGCAATAACCAAGCAGTTAAGGGTACTGCAGCAATCAGATATTTGAGGAGACCAGCACCTGCTGAGTGTACCCCAGTACAAGTCTGATAACAAGCAGGAGCAGAGGAGCTCTGCAGGAGCTGAAGACTGATTAAATTCCTTTAAAAAAGGGAGGATTGGGCCACCTGGGTGGCTCGGTTGGTTAAGCATCTGACTTCAGCTCAGGTCAAGATACTGTGGTTCACAAGTTCCAGCCCTGGATGGGGCTCTCTGCTGTCAGTGTGGAGCTCGCTTTGGACCCTCTGTCCTTCTCTCTCTGCCCCTCCCCTGCTTGTGCACTCTCAAAAATAAACATTTTTAAAAAATTAAAAAGGGGCATCCGCATGGCTCAGTCGGTTAAGCATCTGACTTTGGCTGAGTCTGAGCCCCAAGTCCGGCTCTGTGCTGACAGGTCAGAGCCTGGAACCTGCTTGGGATTCTGTGTCTTCCTCCCTCTACCCCTCCCCCACTCATGCTTGGTCTGTCAAAAATAAATAAAAACATTAAATAAAAAAAGGGTGGATAGGGGTGCCTGGGTGGCTCAGTCGGTTAAGCGGCCGACTTCGGCTCAGGTCATGATCTCGTGGTCCGTGAGTTCAAGCCCCGCGTCGGGCTCTGTGCTGACAGCTCGGAGCCTGGAGCCTGTTTCAGATTCTGTGTCTCCCTCTCTCTGACCCTCCCCCGTTCATGCTCTGTCTCTCTCTGTCTCAAAAAATAAATAAACGTTAAAAAAAATTTATAAAAAAAAAGGGAGGATATTTTAGCAAACTGTCAAGACACCTCAGACACCCCTCTGTGAACACTTCAAAAAGGCAGGTGCTACTGAAGGCTCTGCCTGATGGATCTCAGAACAAAACTGAGATCCTTCAGTGCTTGAACATAATATGTAAATGCTAAGAGGTGACCCAACAAGACTGAGGCTTTATCTCAACTGCACACCCACAGACTTCTGGTTTGGTTTGTTAACTTCCTACTGGCTGTGTTATCTTTTGTTGTGTGACTTGTAAACCCCAGTTAATCACGTGGTGAAATGTCATTGAGTTCAGAATCCTGAACTTGTTTCATAATTATGTTAATCTTGTTTTATGACTGAATAAGGCTGACATTGTGGAAAAACACAACTCGTGTTTGTATCTTTATAGCTTGCTCATGACACTGTATATATGTTTTATACTTTTTTCTCTATGTATGATTATCTCACAGTAAAGAAAATTAAAAACCAAAAGAAATAAACATAACAGAACTATACTGGCCAAGGTGTTGAAGAGAAAAACAGAGCCCCATTTTCATGAAATTTCTCGGTCTTTCTGGCTCCGCCACTGTCTTAACAATTGCTGATCTAACTAGGTAATAGCTTAAGTTTCCCAGGCTTAACCTACCGTCATGTGCCCATGTGGGTTTTTTTTCCTCTTAAAAAAAAATTTTTTTTTGAGTTTATTTTTGTGAGAAAGAGAGACAGAGTGTGAACACGGCAGGGGCAAAGAGCAAGGAAGACAGAATCTGAAGCAGGCTCCAGGCTCTGAGCGATCAGAATAGATCCCGATGCGGGGCTTGAACTCGCAAACAGTGAAATCATGACCTGAGCCAAGGTCGGATACCTAACCGACTGAGCCACCCAGGTGCCCCCTTAAATGAGAAACAGGTAGCTTTATCTCTATACCTCTGTCCCTTCCCCCTGCCGGTGTATTTACTAGTTTAAAAGTCGTTTTGGGGCTGCTTAGTTGCAGCAGATTTCTGCCTACTGTTAACTGCTTCAGATTTTCTGAATTCTTCTGCTACCCTAAGAGTTTGAGAAGAGTGAAGGGAAGCGGTCAGGTGTGTCAGATGAACCCCGCCCCCGTGTGGATGAAAACGTTTGCACGTGGCTCGCACCCTTTGGCAAAGCGGCCCCAGCGCGCCAGCGAAGCCCCCGGGTGAGAGACTGGTGGTCCGGCAGGTGACCGGCCTCAGGCTCCTCACACGCGAGGTCACCTTCACGCTCCTCTTCCTTCTCCTTCCGGTCCGACTGGACGCGAGGAGGCCTGGCGAGGGCGGGTTTCTCTCCCGCCGGTTGCAGGCCCCGCGGCCCCCCACTCGCGGCGCCGCGGGACCGCCCGGGCGTCCTCCCGCCGCCGGGAGCGCTGTGGGCCGCGGCAGGCCTGGTGGCAGACGCCGTGGCGGCCGCCGCGCGCCTGAAGGAATCTGCTGGCGGGGCCCAGGGCGTCTCCGCCCGAGACCGCGCCGCCGTCGCCGCCATGGGTAAGGGGAGCGGACCGAGAGCGGACCCTGGGCTCTCCGTCCTAGGACGCGGCCGGGCGAGGAAGACCCGTGGTGATAGGCACCGAGGCCTCGGGTCGCCACTGGGGCCCGAGTCCGGGCCTGGACCTGGGCGGGGGCAGCCGGGGACTCGGGGGCGCCGGGGATCGCCATGGCAACGCGCGGCCGCCCCTTGTTCCCTTCCGACCCCGCCCGGGTTCTAGGGCCTAATGGCCGAGGGCTCCTTGTCTGACGACTTCCAAGGGGCGAAGCCAGGGTCGGCCAGGGGGCCGCTCCCGGGTCGGTGGAACAGCCGCGGACTGGCGATGACTTTTCAGGTTTGGGGGTGGCGGAGGGAAGACGAGTCTCAGGTTTTGGCTTGGGTGCCCGACGCCAAGGGCGGGAGAGGTGCAGCGATGCCGCGCAGGACCCCGGGTGAGCCCTCCGTGGGGAACCTGGGGCGCCCCGAGCCCTTTGGGCAGCCTTACTGCAGGGAGGCAGGGAGGGGACTCTGGGCCCGGGCGAGATGAGGGGACTGGCCCTTGGCCTTGTTGGGGCTGCGAAGAGCCGGACACATCTTCGAGCCCGGGCGGGGCGCGGTCGGCGTGTAAACGCTCCCGGGCGAGGAAGCTGCGGGCGCGGAGCGTGGACCTGCCTCGGAGCAGCTGTAAAGGCGCCTTTTGTCTGCTAGTCCCTTCACAAGTTACGGATCGTGCTCCACACTAAGAAAAATGAGAATTGGTACAGATTATGAAACATCAAGTGGTTAAAAAAATGAGGGAACCATACCATGATGCAGATTTGAAGGAATGATGTGTGTGCAGATTTTCCACCAGTTAGCTTGGTCATAGCTGTTGTGGGTGTTTGCATTTTTAGTTGCTTAGAATTCTGACTCAGGTTTCACCCTTAGCTCAGAACTTGAATACTAGATCATTGGAAACCCTGGACTTTTGTTCAGTAGAGGAGGAACGGACACTTGGTTCACTTGGACTAGTAGATTTGCCAGAGAGTATATGAAAGGTTATACTAAGTGCTTTCATTTTTCTGCACTTCATTTTGTCATCTCTGTTGGCTGTAAATATTCCTGCCTGTCACAACAGTGGTGAGAATAGGGGGAAACATCTGAATTTCTAAATTAAGAATAAAATTTGTGGGGAAGAAAAAGAGTTTTGTGATATGAAAATATCAATTAAAAATCAGTTTGTTTTTTAAAATGTATCTGTTAACTTAGTTTTTGACTGAATCAGCTGTGTGGAAGGGCAGGAAACTTAAATGTGAAATAAGGACTCTGCTTGTATTTCCTCTGGGAAAATAAAGGAGTCATGAAATACAGAACTACAGTAGCAATGAAAAAACAAGATGGAAAGAGGGCTAAAATGAAAGAATTGAATGGCTTTGCCTGTATCCCCTTATTTGTCCAGTTGTTTTTATTTACCTGTCATATTTATACATGATACTGTAATTTTAAAATTGTAATTGCCTTTTGTTGCCAGTTCTCAACATTTTTTTGTCTTGAGATTCATCCTTGGACTACTGCTGTCCACCTTTTGCATGAGACTCTTAAATATGTTATTACTCCAATCTTAGCTCCAGAAGTCATTAAAAAAAAAATCAAAATTCATTCTCCCTGAAGAGGTACCACAAAAAGTAAAATAAATACCAGAAAATAACAAATTTGCACGGTCTTGAGAATAATCCATAAACTGTGTCTTGGATAGGCATGGTAATGTTCTATGGTGTGTGAGAGAGACAAAAAAAAAAAAAAAGTGTGGGTTAGTTAGGGAGACTAATTTGTCAACCAGAGAAAAACAGCATTGTTCATTTTACAGCAGAATGAAAGGGTTTATATATTTTTCAATGTCATGTCTTGCAAATGATGATGGACTCCTTTCTTGTGCTTTCAGCTACAAAAGACCCCACAGCTGTAGAGAGAGCAAACTTGTTAAACATGGCTAAGTTGAGTATCAAAGGACTCATTGAATCTGCTCTGAGCTTTGGCCGCACTTTGGATTCTGACTATCCCCCCTTGCAGCAGTTCTTTGTTGTTATGGAACATTGTCTGAAACATGGTCTTAAAGGTATCATGAGATTAAAAAAAAAACTAATTAATTTATAATCCCCTTGTTCCATCTTAAACATCCTGGAAAATGTGATATTTGTTGAGGCCATAATTATTGTTACTTTACATTTGAAAAATACTGGGTGGGTTGGTTTTGGGAGAAAACAGCCTACTGCTTTATGTTTTCTTAAATAAGTTGTCTTCGGAAAATGCCTACTTAGGGGCTCCTTGGTGTCTCATTTGGTTAAGCATCTGACTCTTGGTTTTGGCTCTGGTTCATTAGATCGAGCCCACATTGGTGCCTGTTTGGGAATCTCTCTCTACCTCTTTCTGGCCCTGCCCTGCTCTGCTCATTCTCTCTCAAAATTAAAAAAAAAAAAAAAAAAGATGCCTACTTAGTGTTTTGTAAAAACATTTTCCATTTCCTCCCCCCCCCAACATATTCTGAAGTAATTTGTTTTCTAGGGGAATTATAGAGTTATTTAAAAAATTTTAAGCTTAAAACAATGTTAAAATTTAAAAAAAAATTAAGCTTAGTGATCCCAATATGAAGTCTTATTGCTAGTTTCAGCCCTATTGAACAAATACATTAAAATAGTTGATTGTTGGGGCATCTGGGTGGCTCATTCGGTTAAGAGTCCCAGTTAGGCTCAGGTCATGATCTTGTGGTCCGTCAGTTTAAGCCCCATGTTGGGCTCTGTGCTGACAGCTCAGAGCCTGGAGCCTGCTTCAGATTCTGTGTCTCCTTCTCTCTCTGCCTCTTCCCCACTCATGCTGTCTCTCTCTCAAAAATAGACATTAAAAAAAATTTTTTTTTAATAGTTGATTGTTGAAATATAAACCTCCTTGGGACCCTGGAAGAGATCTAGAAAGATTTTCTTCTGGATTGGGTTATCGTAGAAATGTGAGTGTTCCCTGGAAATGATGATAATAGTGGATATTGTATTCTTCTACACAGTTGAATTTATTGTTACTTGTGAAATGTTTATATTATATTTAGTTATTTAATATACATTGTGTAATAACTATTCTTTTACTTATTATATTAACAGTTGTTGGTAGTTTTGGTCTCTACTTCTTTTGATCAGCTGTGTAGGGGCTCTGTGAGTAAGAGTTTATACCCAAGTGACTATTATAATGCAAAAGAAGTGACTATTATAATGCAAAAGAAGCTTGCCTGGTTCCTCGTTGGTATAGTATGAACCTGGTTAAGTTGGGCAGACCTAGAAGTTCTGACTAAGGGGCAGGAGAGTGAGGATCAATGTAAACAGCAAAAGAGCTTTACATAAAATTGAGAAGGAGCCTTGACATCGAAATTTGAGACTCTATGTGATGTTATTAAAGTACTAATTTCTTTTTTTAATTAAAAATTTTTATTGAGATATAATTAACATTATTTTCATGTATACAACATAATGATATTTTTATGTATTGTGAAATGATCACCACAATATGGTGATATCCATCACCATACATAGTTACAATTTTTTTCTTTTGATGAACTTTTAATATTTACTCTCTTAGCAACTTTCAAATATGTGACAGTATTATTGTAGTCATCATGCTGTACATTACATCCTTATGGCTTACTTATTTTATAACTGGAAGTTTATACCTTTTGACTACCTTTACCCATTTCCTCTGCCTCCACTCTCTGCCTCTGGCAACCACCACTCTGTTCTGGTTTTTATTTTGTTTTTTTTAGATTCCACTTTTTCTTCAATTGAGGATGAAGTAATTTTTTTTAATTTTATTTATTTTGAGAGAGAGAGAGTGTGCACACAGGTGCATGTGGTGGGAGGGGCAGAGAGAGAGGGAGAGACAGAGTCCCAGGACTCCATGCAGGGCTTGATCTCACAAATTGAGATCTTGACCTGAGCTGAAACCAACAGTCGGATGTTCAACCCACTGAGCCACCCAGGTGCTCTGAAAACAAAGTAATTCTTAAAAATTGTGTAAAGAATAGTGAAATCTACTCTTTTTGTACATGAACCAAACAACATAGAAGCACATAGAACAAAAACTGTTTCCTTCATTCTCTTCCTTGTCTATTCCTTGTCATTGTTCTAGCTCTTTTCTGTTTTTTTTCTTTTACTGTATATAGAATTATGCTATAAGTATTATTCTGTGATTTTGTTTTAAATTTTTTTTTTTCAACGTTTATTTATTTTTGGGACAGAGAGAGACAGAGCATGAACGGGGGAGGGGCAGAGAGAGGGAGACACAGAATCGGAAACAGGCTCCAGGCTCTGAGCCATCAGCCCAGAGCCCGACGTGGGGCTCGAACTCCCGGACCGCGAGATCGTGACCTGGCTGAAGTCGGACGCTTAACCGACTGCGCCACCCAGGCGCCCCTTTTTTTCTTTTTCTTTTTTTTTCCAACGTTTATTTATTTTTGGGACAGAGAGAGACAGAGCATGAACGGGGGAGGGGCAGAGAGAGAGGGAGACACAGAATCGGAAACAGACTGTGATTTTGTTTTAAAAGATTGGTGATATGGTTTGGAGATCTTTCCATTTACATAGAGATCTTTATCACATTTTTAATGACTCTATAAAGTTTCATAGTATATGTATACCATAACTTAATTAACTGTCTTCCTCTTAGTGTACCCTTAGGTTGCTTCCAATTTTTTACTATTAATATTGTGTTGGGGCTCCTGGGTGGCTCAGGTGGTTAAGCTTATGACTTTTGATTTTGGCTCAGTTCTCACAGATCTCACAGTTCATGGGTTTGAGCCCCATGTTGGGCTTTGCACTGACATCGCGGAGCCTGCTTGGGACTCTCTCTCCTTCCCTTTCTTTCTGACCCTTCCCCACTTGTATGTTCTCTCTCTCTCTCAAAATAAAGTTAAAAAAAATTGTACTGTAAGTACATTGTTGGGTACTTGTATTTGTATACTTGCTCTCTTTAGGAGAGGATTCCTAGGAGTAGAATTACTGGGTCAAAGGATATAGGCAACTGGCCTCTATGAAGGCTTCACTGATTTATCAAACATCATATTTTTTCCTACTCTTAATATTATCAGTCTCTAAATACTTCTTTCAATACATCAAGAAGCCACCAATCTGATCTAACACCTTGAGTTTAAAAAGAATTGTTTTTTTTTTTAAATGTTTACTTAATTTTGAGGGAGAGAGAGTTGGAGCATGAGTGGGGGAGGGGCAGAGAGAGAGAGAGAGGGAGGCACAGAATCCCAAGCAGGTTCCAGGCTCTGAGCTGACAGCACAGAGCTTGACGCAGGGCTCCAACCCATAAACTGCGAGATCATGACCTGAGCCCATGTCGGACACTTAACCAACTGAGCCACCCAAGGCACTCCTAACACCTTGAGCTTTAATTTGCTTTTCGACAAACTTTTATTTAAAAAAAATAGCAGTGACAAAAACCTTTATTTTCTCCCATGCTGCAGAAATGGAATTTGCAAAGTGATGGCCAAATAGTTAAATTTTAAACTCTTCTTTCCTTTTTTTTTTTTTTTAATTAATTACTTTATTTTTGAGAGAGAGAGAGAGGGAGGGAGAGAAAGAGAGCAAGCCGGGGAGGGGCAGAGAGAGAGGGAGAGAGAGGATCCCAAGCAGGTTCTGCACTGTCAGTGCAGAGCTACCGTGGAACTGTGAGATCATACTCTGGGCTGAAATCAAGATTCTCATGCTTACCCCACTAAGCCATCCAGGTATACCTAAACTCTTTTCTGAATTTATTTGCCTTTACTTCACAAAATATCAGGGGCATGTCCTAACAGTCATAGGCTTGTCTTGATGAATCAATGTGAAGCTACTTTGTGCTGATTTTTTTCCCCCGAAAGGAAAAATTGCTTATCTTGGTGATTGTCCTTGGTTAGTGCATGTGATAATCACCCTTGATCTGCAGGAGATCTGGTCAGTACTAAGAAAGAAATATGTAGTGATTTCATGGTTTTATATTACCCAATTCTCACACCTTTTATGTTAAAAGTAAAATAACTACTTATTTGTCTTTGGTTTATTTGATAAGCTGATAAAGATCACCCTGCTAGGGCTGCCAAACTTCTTTATTTTGATACTGGTAAAGAATAATCCCAGTTATTTTTTTACTTTAATTACCTGCCTGCATATTTCTCATAGGGAAGAATGGCCAAGATGCATATTTCTGATAAGGAAAAATATCAGGATCCTGATAAATAGGTTTCTGATCAGTAGGGCTGTGTAGTGATAAGAGAGGAAAGGTCTTTGAATAATTGTGTATTAAGTTAGAAACGTTGAAACTAAATATTTAAAAGGAAGTTATTACAATTTTATATGTTGAAGTTGTATGCATTATATGTACTTTTTTTTTTCAGTAAGAAAATCATTTTTGAGTTATAACAAAACTATCTGGGGTCCCTTGGAACTGGTGGAAAAGCTGTACCCAGAAGCAGAGGAAATAGGAGCCAGTGTCCGGGATTTACCTGGTCTCAAGTAAGTAATCTTATTACTTGTTCATTTCTGACCACAAAAGAATATTTACTGTTTCTTAAAAGTACCTTACACTCTATTATCTTCTCTTAGCTGTAAGTAGCCTTTTTGCATTCTCTCCTAATAAAATTCTATTCTTTCTATATGGCTTAGCTCAAATTTCATTTCCTTTATGAACTTTCTCTTAGCCTCTTCGGTTTTTTTTAAGGTTTATTATTGAGAGAGAGAGACAGAGTGCAAGTCGGGGAGGGGCAGAGAGAAAGGGGGAGACACAGAATCCAAAGCAGGCTCCAAGCTCTGAGCTGTTAGCACAGAGCCTGATGTGGGGCTCGAACCCACGATCCATGAGATCATGACCTGAACCAAAGTCTGACACTTAACTGAGCCACCCAGGCGCCCCCTGTTTTAGCCCCTTCAATAAGAACTAACTGCTTTTCCATTTATACCCTATCACTGTATTCACTCCTTTATTCTGTGACTTCAATTCTGCATTGTATTGCAGGAAACTGTAGGTCCCTTTAAAATAAGATGTGTCGGGGCGCCTGGGTGGCTCAGTCGGTTGAGTGGCCGACTTCAGCTCAGGTCATGATCTTGCGGGCCCGTGAGTTTGAGCCCTGCGTCAGGCTCTGTGCTGACAGCTCAGAGCCTGGAGCCTGTTTCAGATTCTGTGTCTCCCTCTCTCTGACCCTCCCCCCTTCATGCTCTTTCTCTGTCTCAAAAATAAATAAACGTTAAAAAAAATTAAAATAAAATAAAATAAAATAAGATGTGTCAATTATGCATTTCTGTTTCCTGAGTGTTAAGCTAGTTTGCAGGAGTAAGCTAGTCGGCAGCAAGTAACTATTTGCTGAAGCCTGACTTAGGTTAAATCCAGGGCATAGGCGCAGGAGATTTGAATTCTCATATAAGACATTTATATATATGGGACTGGTGCAAATTACTTTTTTTCTCTGAAAATTGGGATGTATAGTGTCATGTGCCCATTTCACCAAACAAATATATATAATATGTTGTAAACGTTCCATTTTCTGTCAGATTATCAGTGTACTTTCTCTTAGCTTTATAATTGAGAGTTTTACATGTTACAGGGAATATGGTAGGGTTTTCTGGCTGTTAACACAACATCCAAATATTTCCAAGTTGTAGTTAATTGAATGATAAAGTAAATGGCTACTGTTTATTAAGCACTGTATCAGGGTAATAAAATGATTGTTTTCCATGAATTGTCTCATTTAGCGCTTACTTCAGTCTTACAGGGTAGAGATTATTATAATAATTACATAGATGCGAAAAATAAAGGTCAGAGAAGTTATAGTTAATACATGGCAGAATGAGGATTCAAACTCAGTTTTTATTTTTATTCTTATTTATTATCATTATTATTTTTTGTAAGTAATCTCTATACTCAGTGTGGGGCTTGAACTCATGCTGAGATCAAGAGTCACATGCTGTATCAACTGAGCCAGCCTGGTGCCCCTCAAACTCAGGTTTTAGAGTTAAATAGCAAGTGATGTTCACACTTGATGTATCTTATAATGATATATTAAGAAGGATAGTGATTTTCAGCAAAGATAGAAGAAAAAGGGAATTATAAGTCTCAAAAAGAGAAGTATAAGCAGGGGTGCCTGGCTGGCTCTTGATCTTGGGGTTGTGAGTTCATGCCCCACATTGGGTGTAGAGATTATTTAAAAATAAAATCTTAGAAATACACAATTTGGTTATTTTAATATGAAAATACATGTTCATATTGTTTTTAAAAAGCCTAACTCTACAAGAGTAAAAAATGTTTTCTGAAGAATGGTATTCATTAAAATGCTAAACCATAAAAATCTCATTAGCTCTTTGTTGTGAAGATTAATTTTCCTCCCATAATACCTGCTGAAACATTCTTTGTATAAGAAAACATAAAAGTGTGAATGATATCTTTCTCTTTAAGAAACCATACATATGCTGTAAAATTTGCTTTTACTTTTACTAAATGATAGAAATTGGATAAGATGTGTGAGATTGAATTTTTTATGGACAACTGGATAGAGAAACATTTGAAAAATAACAAGCAGCCTGGTGATTTCTCTTTAATTAATTACCAGCTCAATGCCTTCTTTTTTTTTTTTTTTTTTTTTTTTTTTTTTTTGTGTTCTTTTTTTTTTTTTTTTTATTTATATTATCCATTTAATTACTTTTTTTTTTTTTTTTTTTTTTTTTTAGCTCAGTGCCTTCTTTGTTATGATTTTTAAAATTCAGATATGATGTCAGTTACTTTTGTTTTTTAATGTTTATTTTTGAGAGGGAAAGAGCATGTGTGAAGGGGAGGGGCAGAGAAAGAATTTCAAGCAGGCTCCTCACTGTCAGTGCAGAGCTGGATGTGAGGCTTGAACTCATGAACCCTGAGATCATGACCTGAGCTGAAATCAAGAATCGGATGCTCAACTAACTGAGCCACCCAGGCATCCCATAATGTCAGTTACTTGTTGAAGGCATTATACTGCCTTATTTGATGCATTTTGTATATTCATCTTTTATTATTATTATTATTATTATTATTACTATTTTTTAAGTAACCTCTATGCCCAGTGTGGCTCTTGAACTACTCTTGAACTACCTGTACTGATTAAGCCAGCCAGGAGCTCCTTGCATATTCATCTTTAGAGGGTTAGGTCTGTTTGGACAAAATATTTCTTATAGAAATAGCCTCACTATTCAGAGTCCTTTCTTCTAAGGCATAAAATGTTACCTAGATGTCTTGCAGGTGCAGGTTTACCATAGAGACTTAAATAGCTCCCAGGGATTAGATTGCATGCTCAAAGAGCTAGCTTAAAACTGTAGACACAAAGATGAAACCATGATAAATTGCAGTTTTAATTTATTAATATGTACCTCAACAGAAATAGTATAATAGACTACATATTCTATAAGGGTTGGAGCAGTTTTCTGACCAGTTCGTTTTGCTTTTTAGGACCCCCCTGGGTCGTGCAAGAGCATGGCTTCGATTAGCCCTCATGCAAAAAAAAATGGCTGATTACCTGCGTTGCTTAATTATTCAAAGGGATCTCCTAAGGTAGTACCATACCATTATATCATGTTCATTTGCATTTAAAAAATTTCATTTATATCCTATTTTCCAAAGAGAATTAAAGATGTGGTACAAAAGGAGACACAAATACAATAAGATGGTATAAAATAAAAGAAGAGCAACATGAGAGAGAAAATCATGGTAAGGACATAACACGGATCAGGAACTAGCCTAAAAAATGAATACCATAAGCTTTGTTTTGGCTGATAAGCAGGAAATTTATTTATGTGTTATATTTGTAAGTTAGTTCATTTTTTTTTCTAGAGTTAATTCTATGAATAAAAATTCGTATTGGGATTTGGAACTTTAATTCAATAGGTTTCTTTTTACATACTAAACTACTGTTTCACCTGTGTTGTGGGCACTTTTTAAACTGTCAGTTTAAATTGAAGGCCATATATTTAAAAAAAAAATTTTTTTTTTAATGTTTATTTTTGACAGAGAGAG